AAAATATATTTGAAACTATTTTATTTTAAATGAGTTGATAGTGAAATAAACAAGTTTGAAGTGGCTTTTTGTCTTAAGGCAAGTTGCATGAACTTCCCGATTATGTGTAATAATTGACTTAATAAACCAAAATTAGGATTTAGCTATTTGAATAAAAAAATTAATTGTTCATTTTGAAAATAAAGTTTTCCGCTTTGACTGAATATTGCGATTTTCAATTGATATCTTTCAATCGTATATTATAATATCTGTAATTCAACCAATTTTTGTAGGACTGTTTTGCGCTTTATGAACTTTATAACCATGTTAAATTTTATTACATACGTCTAAACATTTTTTGAAGAAGCTTAATAAAATATTATGTCAAATATTAAGCATAAGAAAATACTAGCACGATTGCATATTCCTCATGTACGTAGTACTTGATATTATTGAATTATTTAAGTTAATCGTAACATAGTTTATACAATTAAAGAAGTTTTGTGGACTGCTCATTAGGTGACACAGATATAAAGAATTTAATTACATGATTATTAATTATTTTCTGTGGATAATGCATAAATTTTTCAACTTAATATAGCAAGAATTTTGCCTGTTCCAAAAACGGTTACATAAAAGCACTTTTTGCTTATTCCAAAGTTGCGACTCCTCCTTATCGAGTTTCGTTGGTTTAAATTTGTGAAATCTGTTTAGCCGTTTTTTTTGAAAAAGCGTTTATGAAATTCAAGTTTTAACTCATAATACTTACTCACAATACTCACAATAATTTTGACACTTTTTTTATATTTTTTCAAACTTCGATGAATTTTTAAATTAAACCGCTTGTCGTAGAGACGCAAAATTTAAGTATGTTTAGTATGATCTCTATAATCAATTATAACCAATCTCTATAATCATTTTTAACGACATTTAATTACGAAGAAACACTTTGGCCGATTTTTACCAAAATCTAAGCAACAGGATTCCTATTCAATATCTTTCGGTCAGTTTAGTTTTCAAAATTGATTTAGAATTGCGGGCACTTTTCTGTTAATTACAAAGATTTGGTTAGGCCGATCTTCGTGCAAAAATCAACACAAGTCCTTGTCGAGTTATATCGAACGGCTTTTAAGTTTTTAAAATCGATGCAGCCGTTTTTTTACATATCTTCTCACATGCACACACACATACTTTTTTCAAATAATTCAAAATAATCTATTCAGAAAGACAAGAAAACGTTAATAAGCTAATGAGATATGGAATAAGTTAATTTTATTTTTATAATAAATGATAGTCTGCCAGAAGGCAGGTCCATAGTGTGATAGCCACCACAAATAAATGATTCCCCTACCCTTTGTTGTCCATTATTCCCATTACCACTACCCCCCTCCCCCTTCTTTTTTACATTTGTTCTTTTGTTTTTCTTTTTATGTATTTTCCTTTCCAAACTTCTGCTTCCATGCCTCTTGATCCCGCGCAACGACTTTCAGTTCTCTGTATTATCTCTTCTCTTAAGTCGTCAATCATTTGCATTCTTCTTCTTCCCATTCCTCTCAGTCCTTCTATTTTACTCTCGACTTCATCGTGCAGGAGGCACTGTTTTTGCATAACGGATCCAATCCAGTTTCCTTTTCTTTTCAGGATTGTGCTCAGTAGAGTCCTTTTTTACCGACTCTTCTCAATACTTCTTCATTTGCTTTTTGTTTGTTTATTTTCATATAGAATATTTATGTAATTGTTATTCGTTTTCATTTGTATAAATTTGTATCTGGAAATGTGTGCGCTTATATGTTTATAAGCTAATGGACAATTTTCAAAAATATTTGCTGAGATCTCTTATATCAATTTGTCTGATAGTGTTCACGAACATTTATGAATATTCAACATAAAAATAAAAATAAATTGTAAGCAAATAAACTAAAAAATATAATATTCATCTTTCTTGTTGAGCACGCGCCACTGCCTCGTTGTAGTCATACGAGTTCTTTAGCAAGTAGCAGTTTGTCACAGGTTTTGTTTTCATTTATGGTTATTGGCTGTCGCATTTATTATCTTAATTGCGAATAAATTATGCGATCGAGAGCAATAAAAGCTTTGATATCGCATTTCTTGCGACCTACACTTATTTACTACATCAACTGATCCAAGACTAAATATACTATAAAGCGAATTCAATATAAAGAATATGCTGTAATTTATGGTTATATTCATATCGTACATTATGGCAGTATTGAAATTCAGAAATTGGTTTTAAAGGAAGAGTTTCTTCCATAGTGTAGTTTCTGTACACAAACCAGATTGTACAAATCTTTCTGGTTTGGAAAAAATATTTTTGATTTATATTTATATATTGGCCCAACGGTAACGTAATCAGTTCGGATCCCTGCCATGGCCAAATTTGACATCGAGTTACATCGAATGGTTTTTATTCGATCAGAATTCAAATACATTTCCAAATCCATGAGTCTATTTCAAAATTTTGAAATCGGTTTAGCCGTTTTTGAGCAAACATCGACAATAAGGTCAAATACACACATAAAAGCTCACACTTATGTTCCGGTTATCGATAATTCATTAATTTAAGTATTATTACATTGATTTTTTATGTTATTTATCATCACATGGACATCAAAAGTTGGTTTACACATTGTAGCATGAATTAACACCGCGATTTGTTTTCCTAATTGCAAATATTCAAATTGATAAGCTGATTGCATGTATAAATCTCGGATCAGAATTATACAGCTCTGCATATTTTTTGTTCATCAATTTAAAAAAGCTGATAATTTACGATACATAAGCGTATTAGATACATCAGCAGATCAGACTTTATGGAAAAAATACCATGGGTCTAATATCAACTTGTCTGATTGTGATAAATTAACTTTTATGTATCGAAATGATTGTACACATTCCAAAATTCTTTAAGGCGAGATGCATTAATTATGCGAACTGTTTTTTGCCGTTATTTTTTTCTTTCGTGGAGTTAAGTGATTTTTAAGGCAGTTTGTGCCTTTGCATGATAAATATAATTACAAATTCTCGCTTACTGATTTTTAACTTGAACTAATTAATAACTGTAAGATTAGTTAAGTTTTATATTTGTTGATCAAGTATATTTCCAAAACTCTATATAACTTAAACGCTGTCTATACTCTTGGCCGACATATTTCAGACAAAATAGATCCTTTTTATTTTACGACAAGTGGAAACACAAATCTTCTGTCATTTAGAAAAAAAGTTTACAAAAATCAGATATCATAAAATCAGAAATGCAATTCATTTCCTTTTGCACTTATTTACAATATTTGTAAGTATCCTTAATAGTTCAGTGAAATTTTTAAGGCAAAATTGTTCAAATCCGTTAGTCTGCAGCTAAAAGCCAAAACAAATATGACCGTCTCCTATCTGTGAAACTATTCTCGTCACAATGCTAATTTATTTATTGACTTTAATTACTGTTTACATAGATTTTAACAAGGTTCGTTTGAATGATATGTCCTTTTTTGTTAATTCCAGGTCCGAATTTAATGTCATTAAATTGCAGTTTATTTTTGCGTACAATGATTTCAGTAAATCAATATTCTATTCTCATTCTGAACTTTTAAAACGGGAACATTTATTATTAAAGCCCTTTCAAAAATTAGTTGCTGATATCAGTTTCATTTTATGATATCTGGATTTGTGTTTACATGAGAGCTTTTAATTTTATTAAGCAAAATTTATGCAAGAAGTTACTTTGAAAATCATTATAAATTATACTTTTATTTTTATTGCATTTACATAATAGTATGAATTGAGTTAAATATAATTATTTCAATCCTAACAACTATTTTTTCTATTTCTATATTTTTGAACTGACATATTTCTAAAGCTTTTAATTTTATTCACTCAATGAAGTAAACACAAAAAGCATAAGATTCTTAAAATGATAAGAATAAAACATCCTAATTATATATTAAATAATATATTTCTTGCTTACATGTCAACAATTGATATTTGAATTTTGAATTTTGAACCATGCAATTGCAAAAAAGTTTAATTTACTATATGAAATTGCTATAACAAAATTATAGGGCAAGCGAAAATTCTAATTCCTAATTATTACTTTATGAATTCCTTTCTTTGATGAATCTTCAGAAGTACTTTTAATGAGGAATTTTATATCAAATATCGCTAAAAAATATACACTTGATGTTTGAATAATTTAAATCCAACTACAGGTTCAATAAATAATTAATAGTCATTTTCATTGTCAATAATAAGATACTATTAAGGTGCTACAAGAATATATGAATTATGATAATATTTAAATATCTAATAATAATTTATCAAGCATATGCCAGTAGGCCCGTGTTCGATCCCCATTACGAACAACCTAATATCGAACAGTACCGATAATTATTTTCACTTGAATATCTAGATCGAAAATACGTTTGTACGTGAAAATAGTCCTTTCTGCATTTAATTAAATAATGTATGATCACTATTAGATTAATTAAATATGATGAATAATAAATTATACGATTTACATATGTGATAAATTAAATTAGATAAATTATTATTAATATTAAAAAAGTCTAAATGTAGCATGGAAGGAGTTCGATTGTAGCAGGGTGGAAGTTCTGATTGCAGTTGAAAATGAAATATAAAAAATGTCATTAAGCTTTTGAATAGTTTTATATTTATTTTTTCTGTATGTGTTAATTTATTAATCATATTGTAGTTGTTTTTCGGTGATTAATTTTAACATCGTTACAATTTGTTTATACTTTTAATCTTTAGTAGTTATAAATTTAATATGAGTGTATATATTTATATCTTGAAGATGTTTCTTCAAGATATAAATTCTACTTTAATATACTTTAAAATCAAAATCTTTTTAAAACTAAACTAAAACCATGACGAAATGATATATCTGACTGAATTATATTTTTTATGGCAACAATAATAAATATAAAATTCATTCCTGCTCTAATAATTTTTTTTTTTTTTCAGGTAAACTGTACGCCGTGTTGGGCAGACGGCACGGACGCATCCTGTCGGGCGATATGACCCTAGGCTCCGGAAGTTTCGACGTGACCGCTGTGCTTCCGGTGGTTGAGAGCTTCCGATTTGCCCAGGAGATCCGCAAACAGACCAGCGGATTAGCTAGTCCTCAGCTTATGTTCAGTCATTGGGAAGTGAGTACACATTTTATTGTTTTGATTTCATTCAGTTTTTACCTGCATGTAAATGATATTCTTTGGAACTTCAAAATGACGTTTCGTGCCGATTGAACCTATAAGTTTTTTATATTAAAAATTTTCTTATATTTTCACGTTAATTACCATGTCAGTCAAATGTATCTGATGCTAAGAAGTTCTACGCCATGTCAGTCATATTCGACTATATTGCATTGCGAAAAAAAGTTTTAATATAGGGCTATATCAGTCATATATGTATCACATAAAATAGTGTTTTTCCAAGAATTTTGGCAAACAAAATTTTTTCACAATTTACTCCGCCTAATGGATAAAAAGGACCAGGTTACAAATTTTTGAAAAACAACAAAAGGAACACATTGATGTATTTAGCTATACAATGATGTATTTGGCTATATTAGCTGGGAGTTTTACTGAACATAGTTGTTTGTTTGGTTTTTTCAATATAGTTACTCAAAGTCAAATTGGACCTTTTTATACCCAATTAAGTGTTCTTGATACATTTTTACTAATTTATCTAATGAAGTTAGCATGGCCCGTATGAAATTTTTTCTGATGTTATCGTAGCAATCAACGTGTTAAAGACGAACATTCTTAGTATCTACTAGAAAATGCCCCACATTCATCACCTAAACTTTTGATATTAATAACTGCAAACAACTCCAATACATCGTAACCAACCATTTTCAATCTTTTAACGAAATTCTATATTTATCAATTTTCTACAATTTTATATGAAAATCTATAATTTGTAAAGTGATTATTAAATTTGTTCAATTAAATCTCGTGCTATAAATGTTTGAACATTTTCAATTGCCATACAGCTGAAAGTAATTATGCAAATTACAAGTTTTTGCAATTACAAGTAACAAATTTATTAAGCTCCCGAAGGAGAATTATATCTTTGCCAATAATTTTAAGTTCTTTCACGTTTTAAGTCGTTCTGAATCGTTTGAGATCAAAATTTGGAAAAACTATGTGTATGTTAATAAAAATTTGACCTTACGTCGACGTTTTTTCAAAAACGACTACTTTAAATTTCAAAGATTTAAAAGCTATTAGTTGAAATTTGATAAGTACTCGCGTTGTTTGCTTTTGCAAAAATATAAACTGAGCTATTTTCTTAGAATTTGCAGCAACTGACAAACAAATCCAAGGTTTTGCTAAAAAAGTTCTTGGTGAAGATCATTCGAGCTATTTTTATTAATTGTTGACATTTTTACGGTTTTTGATTAAGGGCTTAAAAAAGTGGTTCAATTATAATAATTCATTAAAGCTTGAAATAGTGGATCGTGTCGGGTTAACTTCAATTTTCTATAGTAACATTTTGAAAAATAGCTGAATCTCCATTTTTATTAATCCTGATTATATACCCAAATCGAGAAGATTTAGCAACTTGCCTTAAGGCAAAATGTCGCTTACATCTAGTTCATCTATTTATTACTTAAAAAACTCTTATGTTCTACGGTTGCAAAAGTTTGTTAAAGTTAAAATCTTGTCGTTTATAAGATATTTTTTCAATTTCTTGATCTTATCATCGATTATATTATTTTATTGCAGAGAAAATTCAAGAGGTGTCTCATCAAGGTTGTCAGTTTCTTTGAACTTAAGATATTAAGGTCTAAATGAAAATGTTTTGTTTAATCTTATACTTTGGGTCATACTATTATTGTACGAAGAATGCATTTATTTTCTCATAGTGACGACGGCTGAAAACTTTTGACAGTCATTCGATTGCACTTTTTTGCAATTAAATGCATCCTGCGTCGGTATTACTTAATCGAATTTGATTCCGGATATTGCTTCCAGTATTTCCTCTTCGTACTTCTTATTGTAATTGCTGTTAGAGCAAAATTTATGCTGATTCAATATCCTGTGTTTCAACGAACAATCACGATTATTTGCTATAATGCAATATCTGTATATGTCATGTTTCTTTTCTTACCGCTTTTTGTTAAAATGAATAAATGAGTTTCTAACTTTTTTGCATGGCAAGATTTTCTTGAGAACATATGTAATATAATATAATATAACATATGGGTACGACGTTTTACTAGAGTTAAGTTCTTTTCATTCAAATCGGTTGATCCGTGCGCTCGAAAACGTGGACGAAAAATTGTATCCATACATACATACATACACACATCAATTTTTTCTGAGGTATGCCAAAATGTTCAGAAACCTTCGAGACATGAAGAAATGTAAAAAATTTCAATTTTGATTTTTGGACGATTACAATAACTTGCCCTAGGGAAAGTTGAAAAAAAAAGAAATGACATACTTAAAAAGTTAGTAATTAGTGCGTTAGTTTTGATTGTTGTAGCGATGTACCAAGTGTAATAGATCACTGCTTCAAGTGAGTTAGGGGTGCGGGTGACCTTTCTTTCTCATGAATTTTATTTCTGTAATTTTTGGCAGTCGGTAAACATATGGAATTAAAAAAACGCAAGTTTTGTTTCTCTATTATAAAAATTCCTCAAGCAATTTAATAAACGTCTTGCAAGAGAAATGCTAAAACGGTCGTCTCAGTTATGACATACGTCGAAAAGAACTCGTCAATTTCGATAAGTGCTGCAATAAAACTAAATAATTTACCTTGCCAGACAAAATAATTTACCTTGTCGAATTTTTGTATGCATCTCTAATGAGCCATTTGCAGAATTAATCGTTGCTTCCGGTGCAATAAGTGTAAGCAAAGAATTTATTGCTTACGATGACGCCGAATACGGGAACTGACATTTGTTTTGGAAAAGGGCTGGTAGACAATATTTATGAGTAATAAAGAAAATTTTAAGCTATCATAAACATGAATATTGTGATTGTAAACACAGAAATGGAATATAAGAAATAATTTTTTTTTTTATACATTCCTATTTGTACATCAATCGGAGCTTCCTTGCTATGAGCTGTTGTGCTCGAACTTTTCCTTCTATATGGGTAGAAAATTGCAACCCAATGGTTAACTAAATTATATTTGATAGATTCTAATATTGCTATTAAATAATATAATTCAATTTAAAACGGCCATGAGCACGAAGGGCTATTTTTACTTGCAAGCAATTCTTATAATCAAAAATATAAAAAAATTAAAAAGACATCATTAGAACAAAGTATAAAAATAGTAGAATTGAATATAATTTAAAATTTAATCCTAGTGAATTCCTATTTTTGTGAATATATTTATGTAGTGTTTAATAGTTCCATTAAATATAATTCAACAATAACACAAGGTATGAGTAATCAATCATGTGAAGGTTAATACTTCCTCAATTATCAATAACGAAGCAAATGAAATCGTCATGTCACCTTTGTTTACAATAATCATTTTAGTAATAAAGATCATTTTAATTATGCTTGTAATCATTACTTCTAATGATGGGATAGAATACAATAGTTAAATCCTCATATATCGCAAGTAAAGAACCATACCTAGCATGATAAAAGGTACATTTTCCCAAAATTCATTTTTACAAAATATGTTACTGCTTACTCACAAAACTTTTAAAACTAATAAATATTGATTTTACACAATTTTTCAGAAGTATTTCGCAAATGTGACAATATTATATATGAAATTAAATAAAGCTAATAAAGGGTGTTATTTAAGAGCATTAGCTAATAAAGCATAAGAAGTGTTTTAGAATGGAGAATAAATTTACCGATTTAATGTTTGTTGTAAGTTTCTGTAAGTTTTATATTTTGGCTCTTTCAAACTCGTTATTAAGTTTTATTAATTAATAAAAAATATACCGAGATATTATAATTGTAATACCTATTTGACTACTAGAACGCATACCATTCGAACATTAAAAAAGCGTCGGCAAGGTGTAAATTATGATGATTAAAAGTATAATTTTGTTGTGTATGGCAATTCCCAGTTTAGTACTGATATTGAGTTTCTTGTGTAAATTAATCTTGAAATTCTCTGTTAATCAAGCATGGTTATTCAAAATAGAAAAGCATTAGACACATCGGATGTTCAAGTGTTTAAAGGCTTATCGTAAGTATGTCGAATCTTTATCAGTCCCAATATTTTAGCAGCGGATGCCCACGCAATATGTAAAACAGAGATCGTTCTAAAAATACATTTCTTGATATTAAACTGAATTGCAATGGGATACTGAAATTGTAATTTATAATACCAAACAAATGAGCAAAGGCTTGGTAAAACTTTGGGAAAAGAAATTTTATCTAAATCTTTACAATTGAGTGCTTATCATTTGATATTTCGCAAAAAATAGTTGTAAGATCTGTTCGAATAAGAACAAGAAGAAATTAAAAGTTCCCGATATGTCTTAATAATTAAATTTCAACCGTTTATTTTGCAAAAAAAATTATAGGTCTACCAAATGCGAATCAGTTTTAAAAATTTAATAAAGAATAAAATGTTGCCCCACACATCTTATTATCACATATAGGAAGATTTATGCAATTTACCTTAAAGCGAAATTAAAACTAGTTTCTTAATAAGTATGCATTATCTATTTGTTTCTCTATCATATACCTATTATTTTATCTTTCAAAATAATTCTAGAACCTCGTTATACAAAATATATGAGAAAAACTTCATTTTATTTCGTATAAACTTTTTGGATCATTTGCGAAATAGCAAAGCTGGTTCATGCCAAATTAGAACCAATCAATCAGATGCAACAAGCCATCGGTAATTTAACTCAGCGCACCTGAGTATATCTTTGATCAGAATTCTAAAAATGCTTTAAATACATCGCATGCTTTTAATTTAGATTATTTTTTTAATCAGATCTGGTGAACACTTAATAAAGTGTGTTTGATGTTTACTCAGAATTCGGTATCAGAGCAAGAATATCTGACATGCACGATTACCGTCGGACGATTATATTAACTTAATTCTTACTTGGAAATTTGTTTTCTTGGAGCAAAATGCAACCTCGAAGGAAAAGATTGCTGCCTTGTACCTGCTCGGCATGTTGGCATCTTCAACGCGGATACTAAGAATA